GCTCGCCTTGAGCTGAAAAGACAAGAGAGATTTGAAGATCACAATTCAAAGCCAGTCCAATCAGGAAAGTCCATGAGATTCTTTGATTCTACTAAAAGGCCAAAGGGGGAGCTGTGGTTCAACTGGTAGACCACTAGGTTTGATAGCACCAGGCCCTGAGTAGAAGCCAAAGACTGACATAAAAAAGGAATCAAGGTAGTTACAATTAAAGCATCCAATTAGTTAAGATTAAAGCTAGTGACTACAGTCTAGGAAATAGGATCCCCTGAGGAAACCCACTCCAGACATAGCTAGCCAATCAAAACAAAACCACAGGGTAGAATGGCCTTAGTATGAAGGCAAAATTTCATTCTTTCTGGGAAGAATGGATTTGTTTAAACAAAGGTTGGTCTTTGTAAAACTTTCCAGAATATGATGTAACAAATGCATGAGCCTGAACAAGAGAAAGTGGAGGAAGGGAGAAGCAAACACTGATCAGACAGCTTTTAGCTGTACACATGGAAATGTACCCGGATCACCTTGAAAACGGAAGAGTAATCAAGAGGAAAGGAACCACAGCATCTTAAAAGTCACAATTGTATTTCAAAAAAGATTGAAAGAAATAGAAGTTTCCAGTGCAACTGAGATACCCCCTGCTGGACTTTGGCCATATGAGGACCCAAAAATCTGAAAAGCAAGTCTGAGGGCAAATAACCTAAGCTTATCTTCCTAGTCCTCACAAACAGCAGTTCTAGCCTGATGATTTTCAAAACTGGGTTAGATGTGAATGTCAATGCTAAAGCAGTCAGTGAAACCAAGTATCTAAAGAAAATACTTCCACTGGCGGCAGTGACTCATACCTATAATGCTAGCTACTCAGGAGGCTAAGATCTGAGGATCATGGTTCAAAGTCAGCCCAAGCAGGAAAATCCAAGACTCTTATCTCCAATTAGCCACCAGAAAACCAGAAGTGGTAGAGCGCTTGCCTTGAGCTGAAGAGCTGAGGGACAGCTCCCAGACCCAGAGTTCAAGCCCCACAACCAACAAAAGAAAAAAACACTTTCGTGAAATTGAAAATCTGAATTTGTGTGCCTCAATAATAAGCACACACAAAAAAGGTCTAATAGCACTAACAGTGTATATAGTACTTATGTGCATCAATTCTCATGTACATACCAGCATTTAAATCTCCTCTTCCACCCAGAACTTTCTCCTCTTCCAACCCCCCTTTTAAAAAAAAAAAAATTCTTGGGGCTGGGAAGTTGGCTCAGTGGTAGAGCGTTTGCCTTGCATGCCTGAGGCCCTGGGTTTGATTCCTCAGCACCACATAAGCAAAAAGAAAAAAAGCCAGAAGTGGCACTGTGGCTCAAGTGGTAGAGCTCTAGCCTTGAGCTGAAGAGCTGAGGGACAGCGCCCAGGCCCAGAGTTCAGGCCCCACGACTGGACCCAAAAATAAATGAATAAATAAAAATTTAAAAAATTCCTTATGTCCCTTATTTATCTACCTTCTAGCTCTCTACTTTATTATGTAGGCATTATTACAAGTGGGATTCATCTACCACATTTGCAGTTCAATCCCCTGGGATTGCTGCCTGGCACACATCACACAATGCTGGCATTTAAATTCTCTAAACCCGACCCTAACCATCTCATACCCTAACTGCTTCCTTTCCATATCATCACCTTCCTTTGCCTAATTACTGACACTGCAGGTCTTCTCACACCACTCAAGATGCTCTTCAAATCCTCAACTCACAGTAATTAAATATAAGGACTGTGGGATTTGTGTCCGAGCCACTCCTAGACACCCAAAGCCAACCCTGCCTTCCATTTTCAACATACTGTAGCAAGTTCCATTTATTTTTTTATTTTTGCTAGTTCTGGGGCTTGAACTCAGGGCCTGGGTACTCTCCCTGAGCTTCTTTTGCTCAAGGCTAGTGCTCTACCACTCAGCCACAGCATGCCAATTCTGGTTTTCTGAGTGGTTTATTGGAGATAAGAGTCTCATGGGGCTGGGAAGTTGGCTCAGTGGTAGAGCGCTTGCCTTGCATGAGGCCCTGAGTTCGTTTCCTCAGCACCACATAAGCAGAAGGAAAAAAAAAAGCTGGAAGTGGCGCTATGGCTCAAGTGGTAGAGTGCTAGCCTTGAGCTGAAGAGTTGAGGGACAGTGCCCAGGCCCAGAGTTCAGCCCCCACGACCAGACCAAAAAAAAAAGTCTCATGGACGTTTTCTGCCTGGGCTGGCTTTGAACCATGATCCTCAGATCTCAGCCTCCTGAGTAGCTATGGTTACAGGTGTGAGCCACCGGCTCCCAGCTTCAAAACTCAATTTTGTTTGACAAATCCCTCATCACTGGACTCATTCTCATTCTCTCAGTGCTATGTGACTTCAATCAGCAAACTCTTATCTGCATGAATGATTCCTACTTTAACCCCTGTACTGTTTTTTACTTCTCCCTCATTCTCTACCTCCAACAAACCCAAGAACTTTCTCTTTCTCCAAACTGAGGGAGTCTCATTCACTATCTACTGGATAATTTTAACATACCCTGACCAAAAATATAATTGGACTCAACTGTCATCACCTACCCCTAATGGCTTATGTCCAACCCTACAAATTTCAAGCCAGGCACCAGTGGCTCATGCCTGTAATCCTAGCTACTCAGGAAGCTGAGATCTAAGACTAGCCTGGACAGAAAAGTCTGAGACACCTCCAAATAAACTGCCCAAAAAGCTATACATGGAGCTGTGGCTCAAATGTTAGAGTAAAATGAAACTCAGGCTCAGTGCCCAGCTCCTGAGTTCAAGTCCCAAGCCTAGGAACCCCAAAAAGGAAAACAAATCAAATTTCTTGTTTGAGTTTTTTTAACTATATTTTTTTGTCTTTTCTTTTTTGGTACTGGGGATTGAACCTAGGACGTTGCACTTGCTAGGCAAGCGCTTTGCCACTGAGCTACATCCCAGCCCTAGGGTTGGTTGGTTTGTTTTTTGTTTTTTAGGTTGGTCATGGGCCTGAACTCTGGGACTGGGCCCTGTCCCTCAGCTCTTTAGCTCAAGGCTAGCGTTCTACCACTTGAGCCACAGCACCACTTCCAGCTTTTTCTGTTTATGTGGTGCTGAGGAATCGAACCCAGGTCCTCATGCATGTAAGGCAAGCACTCTAACACTGAGCCATCTTCCCAGCCCCTCAAATCAAATTTCTTTACCAGCCCATGATCAACCTTCATGGGGAGGGGCTCTCTTAGTGTGGGGAAGCCTTGTTATCAGGCTAGTCTTCCTCTCCTGGCTACCTTTACCATGGAGTTATATTCCATAACTCAAAAACACAGAAGTTCAAAGACAGTACCCAGGCTGAGTCCAAGCCCTAGAACAGAAAAGATGGTAGCCTGGCACTGGTAGCTCACCCTACCCCTGTAATCCTAGCTACTCAGGAAGATGAGAGAGGGGCTGGGAATGAGGCTCAGTGGTAGAGTGCTTGCCTAGCATGCGTGAAACTCTGGATTCAATTCCTCAGTACCACATAAACAGAAAAACCTGGAAGTGGTGCTGTGGCTCAAGTGGTAGAGTGCTAGCTTTGAACAAAAGAAGTTCAGGACAATGCTCAGGTCCTGAGTTCAAGCCCCAGGACTGGCACCAAAAAAAAAGAAAAAAAAGTCATGGAGGTGAGAGACTTTTGGTAGCTGTTCTTTCCTAATTTTTGACTCATTAATTTTTACCTTTATAACATCCTTTCAAAATCAGTAAGCTCATTAATTAAAAGCTTAACCAATCCCAGGATCCAAATACGCTCCCTGGTTGATTTCAACCCATACCCCTAAGCAACCTGTCTTCTTGGCAACCTGAGTGAGGATGGTTCTTTCCACTCTTCCAAAGAATCATCCCTTCCCTGACTTTGTGGAGGATAAATCCAACAAACAGGCCTAAGTAACTTCAATTTGTATCTAAAATGTATTTTGTATAGGCACCCAAACTTGTTTATCTTCAGTAGACATAGCTAGTAGTCCTCTCTTTTCTGAAAACTCAGTAAGAGTTCAATGAGGTGAGTAGAGCTGGCATGTTAAGGCCTTTGATAGTAGCTTGTGTTGCTATACTATTAATTCTATTCATACGAAAGGAAAACGTTTTCCCTAGTCCTTTCATGCCTTTCAACAGATTGAAAATGTTTCAAGCTGAGAAATCAGAAAACAGAAGTCCAAGAAATATCATGTTGCATGCCAGTGGTTCACACCTGTAATCCTATTTTTTAAACATGTGATGGATATAGTGTGTGTATATGTATGCATGTATGTATGTATGTATGTATATGTCATGTATGTGTATACATATATATGGAAATGCTAGGGATCAAACCCAGAGCCTTGAGCCTATAGAAATATGCTAGGAAACCCTCCCCCACAGTATAACCCCTGCTTTCACTATATTTGATGTCAGTATAACTTGTGGAGGAGATGGGGAAAAACAAGTCGTTTAAGGATACAGGTGGACCTGTTGCAACAATGAGAAGTACAAGTTGTCATGTCGAAAACGAGCTTTACAACGGGGGGGGGGGGGGGGGGGGGGGGATTGGGGGGCTGGGAAGGGATGTGAAGGGTAAACGAAGGAGGAGGCTGCAATGCTTGATAAGATATGTACGCATTATCCTGCCCATGTAATTGTAACCCCTCTACAGTATGTTCAGTATGTTCACAAAAAAAAAAAAAAAATTAAATTAAAAAAAAAAAGAAATATGCTAGGAAATGAAATGCCAGTCAGATGCCATAGCTTATACCTGTAATCTTACCCACTTAGGAGGTTGTAATTTGGAAGTTATGTTTGAGGACAGCCTGAGCAGAAATGTCTGCTAGGTACCTTCTCTAAAATAATCAGAAAAAAGCCAGACTGGAGTTGTGGCTTAAGTATTAGAGAGCTAAGCTAGGTAAGCATGAGTCCCTGAGTTTAAAACCAGTACCACCAAAAAACAGGAAATGTCAATTTGTCAATTGAAAGAAACACTGAAACAATTTAAGATTTCAATAACCAAAGTAACTGTACAAAAAATAAACAAATTAACTTTATTAAGCTAGTACTTCAGTCTACATTGATTGATTTAAAAAAAAAGTGTAGAACTTACTGAAAGTGAGTATATACAATAAATAGAAAATAGGGAGGGCATAATGTTGGAGACCTAATAAAGCTTCTGTGGTAAACAAAACTTGACACATGATTAGCATTATTGAAAGTGAAGCCCAAGTACCTAGGAGAATGTTGTGAACTCTTGGGAAAATAACTTAGCTCTGGACCAGACAAAAACCAAACCAAACACACAAGAAAAGACCCACAATAACAAAACACTATCTAGAAACTAACTTCACTATAGCACTACAGTAACTACTAAAACTATTACCTCTACTGCTAGTACTAAAGAACAATTTAAGAAAACAAAAATACCAATGAACCTTCATGAACAGTTAAATCAAAGTTTTAACTTTAAATATATGAAGACTTCTTAAGTATTCTAAGCCATATGACAGGCCCCACAAAAATAAGTTACAAATACTCTGAATTTAATAACTTAAAACATGATATGATGAACATAACATATATTGTATGAGTACCTCTATCTCATGGAAGGTAATACCTATAAGGTTTAAATTTAGCCTCAGTTTCTGCTCAGAAGAGTGACGTCAGTATTCTAGCAATAGTGATGACATTCTATTATAAATGTAGAACCTGTGAATGTACACATTAGTTTGAATTGCACTTGATTGAAGAAATAATTGTATGTTCAAGAGAGTCCATGTTCTATGTACAAATTTTCAATGGAGCAGGTTTATAATCACAGCTGGCTTTAAAAATGTTTTCTGACTTCTGAAAACAAATCATGAAAGCTCTTCCTAAAAGTTAACAAAGTGAATAGTAGGTGACATTGGTTCTTTTTTCCCTTTATGTATGATGAACTTCGTGAAACATTAATTCCCGAGGTATGTTTGTTTCTGGACCATACAGCTGACATGCTCTTCTTTCAAAGGCGGCTACCATTTGTTTGACAACTTCATCAAAAAACAATGTGGCAAGCTGAGAGTGTAGAAGTGAGCGGAATTCAAAAGAAATCTGTAAGAAAATATTAAAAATTGGAAAAGACTTTTCTTTTGCTAGATTTTCATTCAGGACAACATTGACACTGTGATTCAGGAATCTAAGGAAGAAGTGTGTGGCTACAGCTGAGATTTCAGGACCCACCAGAAGGGGATATTCTTTACCTCAGCACAAAAGCTCACACACACTGGGCTGTAGTAACCTCATTTCACGGCAGAGTCTGCCTCTATGGAGTCTGGAGAAGAAAAACTTCGCTAAAAAACACATTTATCACTTGTTTCTTCCCTTTTAGATCCATCCTACCTCCAAAGGAAAATAAGAATGGAAAAGACTACTTTCATAGCTGTTGCTCCTAAGAGAAGTTGAGGTAGATGAGGTTGCCTATAAGTACGTAAGTGTGCCTCATCCCACATAGCAATAGGGTAGGTGGTTAACTCTTTTTTGTTTTTTTTTTGGGGGGGGGAGTCAGTCATGGGATGAACTCTGGGCTTGGGTGCTGTCCCTGTGCTCTTCAGCTCAAGGGGAGCACTCTACTGCTTGAGTCTTCTGCTTTTCTGGTGGTTAATTGGAGATAAGAGTCTCAGAAAAAAAAAGTCTCACAGACTTTCCTGCATGGGCTGGCTTTGAACTGTGATCCTCAGATCTCAGCCTTCTGAGTAGCTAAGTTTACAGGCTACTGCTTGCTAGGCAGAGATTCTCCTCACCACATGGGCCATGTGTAATACTGTACTTTTCAGATTGGGTCATGTTTTCCTCAAGCTGGTCTGGAATTTTGATCCTCCCAATCTCCACCTCCTGAGAAGTTGAGATTTAAGGAATTAGCAACCATGCCAAACTTTTTTCTTTTTTGGTGCAGGTACTGGAGCTTGAATTCAAGGCAAAAATCTGACTTGGCTTTTCTATTCAAAACCTGCTCTCTACCATTAAAGCCATACCTCTATACCAGCTTTTTTGTTTGTTTTTTGGTTGGTTGTGGTGCTTCAACTAAGGGTCTGGGCACTGTCCCTGAGCTTCCTTTGCTCAAGGCTACTGCTCTACCACCTGAGCCACAGTGCCACTTCCATTTTTTCTGTTTATGGGGTACTGAAGAATGGAACCCAGGGCTTCATGCATGCTAGGCAAGCACTCTACCACTAAGCCACATTCCCAGCCCTCAGATTTTTTTGATAGTGAACAGGAGGTTAAGAGTCTCTTGACTTTGTCGGGATTGCTTTCAAACCTCAATTCTCAGACCTCATCCTCCTTGAATAGCTAGGATTACAGGCATGAGTCACCACCTCCTAGAGGCATTATTTTGTTTTGTACTAACTGTACTGGGTTTATTTTGTATTTAGGATTGAACTCAGGGCCTCATACAAATTAAGCAGGCTCTTTACATCTTTTTTTTTTGGTCAGTCCTGGGGCTTTAACTCTGGGCCTGGGCATTGTCCCTGAGCTCTTCAGCTCAAGGCTAGTGCTCTGCCACTTGATCCACACCGCAACTTCCAGCTTTTTCTGTTTATGTGGTGCTGAGAAATCGAACCCAGGGCCTCATGCATGCAAGGCAAGCACTCTACCACTGAGCCACCTTCCCAGCCCGCTCTTTACATCTTGAAATACAACCTCAGCCTTAAATGTTTGTAAGTAATATTAAGCTGGTAGCTAAATTATGGCATATATTTTATTTTTGGTACTGGTGATGACCAACCCAGGGCCTCATGCATGCTAGACAAGTATCTACTGCTGAATCTACATCCCCAGTCCAGATTATGGATGGGATAAGAGTTAATATAGTAATTAAAATCTATGGATTTAGAAAAAGTAGTAAAGGAGAAGGAATAACGTTTGATGTTGTAGGAAATAGAATGGAAAAAATCATTAGCATTAATGCAAAAAAAGGTATTCTATAATAAGAAATTTGAGATTAAAAAAAATATTGGAGCTGAGTATGTAGCTTAGTGGTAGAGTGCTTGCCTGGTATACATAAATTTCTCAGTACCACATAAACAGAAAAAGCTGGAAGTGGTGCTGTGATCCACGTGATAGACTGCTAGCCTTGAGCAAAAAAAGAAACCTAGGGACAGTGCCTAGGCCTTAAGTTCAACCCCCAGGACTGGCAAAAAAAAACCAAAACAAAACAAAAAAACAAAAAACATGCTAGGCACTGGTGGCTCATTCCTATAATCCTAGCTACTCAGGAGGCTAAGATCTGAGGATCGTGGTTCAAAGCCAGTCCAGGCAGGAAAACCTGTGAGACTGTTATTTCCAATTAACCACCAGAAAACATGAAGTGGTGCTGTGGCTCAAAGTAGTAGAACACTATCCTTGAGCAAAGAGCTTAGGAACATGAAGAAAACATGAAGTGGTGCTGTGGAACGTGAAGAAAACATGAAGTGATGCTGTGGCTCAAAGTAGTACAACACTATCCGTGAGCAAAAGAGCTTAGGAACAGTGCCCAGACTGTAAGTTCAAGCCCCATGACCAACAAAAAAAATAAAAATAAAATTTCTTAAATCATGTTTTAGCAATTTCTATACATATCAGATAATCATGGCATCTGGTTCTAAAAAAATAGATTAGCCAGGCATGGTGGTGCATACTTGTAATCCTAGCACTGAGGTCAACTTTGGTTACAGGGTAAAACTAATCAACATTACTTCATAGCAGGACCCTGTTTCAAAGAAGTAAAATATAGCAATGATTGCAGCTCATGTGGTTGAGTATCTTCCTAGCCAATATGAAGCCATAAGTTCAAACCAATAAAAGAATTATTGCTTCTTAACAATTTCACTTTAGATATGAAACAAATCAAATACTTCATGAAAGACTTACTGAAAAATCCAGGGTACAAGTTCTTGGGTAACCAGGAATTCCTGGGCTAAAGCGCCAAATAGTCTCTAAATGATTGAAAAGTTTCCCATCAGTACAGGATGCCTAGAAATTAAAAATAAATTAAAAATTAAAAACTACAGTTAAATATCTTTATTATAGGGACTGGGAAGGTGTCTCAGTGATAGAGCGCTTGCCTTGCATGCATGAGACCCTGAGTTCAATTCCTCAGCACCACACAAGTAAAAAGAAAAAAGCCAGAAGTGGAGCTGTGGCTCAAGTGGTAGAGCGCTAGCCTTTAGCTGAAGAGCTGAGGAACAGCGCCCAGGCCCAGAGTTCAGGCCCTATGACCGGACCCCCCCCCCCCCAAAAATCTATTATTAGCAAGAATCTACCATGACAGAATTACTTTTCCAAAAAGTGATTATTACTTTCATAGGCCAAGAGATGATGATATTTAATAGCTTGGTATTAGGAAGCAATGTCTTACTAAAATGAGTCATTTGTTTTCTTCTGGAATCCCTAAAGGCTGTCAGTAATTCTCTTTTCCATGCTACCACCCACTCATTACTTAGATTTCTCTCCTCTAATAGCACAAGGAGTGATTTTATGGAATCTTAGTTCTTTTTTTTTTTTTTGGTCCAGTCGTGGGGCCTGAACTCTGGGCCTGGGCGCTGTCTCTCAGCTCTTCAGCTCAAGGCTAGTGCTCTACCAATTGAGCCACAGAGCCACTTCCGGCTTTTTTTCTTTTTGCTTATGTGGTGCTGGGGAATCGAACCCAGGGCCTCAGGCATGCAAGGCAAGCGCTCTACCACTGAGCCACCTTCCCAGCACTGGAATCTTATTTCTAACACAAGTTAAACTCCTGTATCATATTCCTTGAGCTGCAAAATATTATCTTCTTTATATTATCAATATGAAATGATAGCTGAAATGCTTATAAGTTTTCTGCTATAGATCCCTAGGGCAATTTCTAAATTCTCTCCTACTACCAATAGTCTTGCCTTCATTCTTCATTCCCAATTCCGCTACCCAGTTTCCTTCATGCCCTTGGCCCTGACTCCTTTCTTTCTAAATGGCTTCAGGACATGTCTATTTTGTTTGTTTGTTTGTTTGTTTGTTTTGGGGGGGGCGGGCGGATGGAGGGTGTCCGGTCATGGAGCCTGAACTCTGGGACTGAGTGCTGTCCCTCAGCTCTTCAGCTCAAGGCTAGCACTCTACCACTTGAGCCACAGCGCCACTTCCGGCTTTTTTCTTTTTGCTTATGTGGTGCTGAGGAATCGAACCCAGGGCCTCATGCATGCAAGGCAAGCGCTCTACCACTGAGCCAACTTCCCAGCCCCAGGACATGTCTATTTTATATGTATTTGCATAACCTGAAACAGGGCTTTTGTGACTCTTGATAGTTCCCACTGCATACCATTAAAAAAGATACTGACTGTGACTCATGAAAAGACTGCCATGCGCAATGTCAAAAATGGTGACGATATGCTAGCTAGTATATTGTTATAAGTGGTTATGACCTTGGCTGAAATTCAGCTTCATTACCTAGGCCTCCTGGATGTTAAGTAGGCATTATCACACTACTACATAACCCACCTTAAGAGTACATTATCACTTCTCCTCTGCAGCACAACATTAAAATACCTGTCTGAAGGCTACAACTTCCATTTCAGTTAAACCTTACATTTTTAGTTCTTAAGGTATATCCTGAGGCCAACAAACAATCAAGCCTATTCTTTTTCTCTTTGACAATTATTCCCCTTACGATTTTATAATAGCCGGGCCCTGGTAGCTCACCTGTAATCCTAGCTACTCAGGAGGCTGAGATCTGAGGATCACAGTTCAAAGCCCGGGCAGGAAAGTCCATGAGACTCTTTTTTTTGGTCGTGGGGCTTGAACCCTGGGCTTAGGCATTGTCCCTCAGCTCTTCAGCTCAAGGCGAGCACTCTACCACTTGAGCCATAGCACCACTTCCGGTTTTCTAGTGGTTTTATTGGAGATAAGAGTCTCACATGGGCTGGGAAGGTGGCTCAGTGGTAGAGCTCTTGCCTTGTACACATGAGGCCCTGGGTTCAATTCCTCAGCACCACATAAGAAAAAAGAAAAAAGCTGAAAGTGGCGCTGTGGCTCAAGTGGTAGAGCGCTAGCCTTGAGCTGAAGGACAGTGCCCAGGCCCAGAGTTCAGGCCCAGACCACCTCCCCCCCCCAAAAAAAAAGTGTCTCACAGACTTTCCTGCCCTGGCTGGCTTTGAACTGTGATCCTCAGATCTCAGCCTCCTGAGTAGCTAGGATTACAGGCGTGAGCCATCGGCCGCTTGGCTTTCCCTGAGACTCATCTCCAGTAAACCACTCAGAAAACCAGAAGTGGTGCTGTGTCTCCAGTGGTAGAGCACTAGCCTTGAGCTGAAGAGCTGAGGGACGGCTCCCAAGGCCCAGAGTTCAAGCCCCACAACCAACAACAACAACAAAAAAAAGTTAATAATATCCTTCCTGTAAGGCTACTGACACTACAAATCTGTATTCCCCAAACAAGTCCTTGTATAGTTTCCTCCAATTAAAGGAGTCATTTTTGCTTAGCTATACTCTTCCTAATCATAGAACACAGGGTCCAATTCTCTGACAAAAGTCTGTATCTCTCCACATACTCAAACTGAAAAACAAAGAACAAAAAAATCTATTTCCAGTTTGTTCCTTAAAGTCCTCTCTTCATTTAAGCCCTCTTGAATCCATTATCAGTCAATAACATAGTCTAACCATTATTACAAAAGTCAAGGACAACAAACTAAAAGACATTTATATCAGAATGCTCTTTATAATTTATAAAAACAAAACATTAACAGCTAAATGCAGTTCATAGTATGCTTAGCTACTGAGAAGAAGGAAATTTTTTTTTAAGGGCTTTCCTGCTTGGGCTGGCTTCAAATCTTTATCCTCAGATTTCAGCCTCTTGAGTAACTAGTATGACAGGTGTGAGTTACAATAAGAATATTAATCAAGGCCAGATGCCAATAGCTCGCACCTGTAATCCTAGCTATTCAAGGGGCTGAGATTTGAGGATCAGTTCCAAGCTAGCCTGGAGAGAAAAATCCCAGTGAAACTCTCATCTCCAATTATCCATTCAAAAACTGGAAGTGGTGCTGTGGCTCAAGTGGTAGAGCCATTAGTCTTGTGCTGAAGAGCAGAGGGACAGCACCCAGGCCCAGAGTTCAAGCCCCACAACTGACAAAAAAAGTAGAGCTGGAAGCCTGGGTCAAATGGTAGAGTGGCAATAAAGCAAACACAAGGCTCTGAGTCCAAACCCCAGTATTGTTACTTTAAAAAAAGTTCTTATCACTATAAAAGAGGAATTCAAAAATATTGAGTATTAGTCTATGGGATTTCACTTTCCTTTTCTATGTGTAAAATGTGTGTGTGTGCACGCATTAATAATGGGGCTTGAATTCAAGAACTTCATGTTCTTGCTTGGCTTATTTTGCTTAAGCCTTGCACTTGACTACTTAAGCCATGCCTCCACTTCCAGTTTTTCGCTGGTTAAAAAAACTGGAAATAAATCTCAAAGGCTTTTATGCCCCAGCTCTCTTCAGACCTCAATCCTCAGATCTCAGTCAAATCCTGACTGGGATTACAGGTTGTGAGTCACCAGTGCCCAGCCTCCTATTACTAGAGACATCTTTTTCAGTTTTTACACGTTATTTAATCCACTTGATATGATTTGGGGAATATTTAAGAACAAAAACTCTTACCTTTACCAAATGTGGTTTCACCAAGGTCACTATAGATGTATATCGTTCCAACACTGGAGGAAACCCAATTTCTAACTGTGTTTTACAATATCCAGATCTCTTTGATATAATATCTGATTTTTTGCACCAAGGAACAAAATGCTTATAATCCTCCATTCCTGATACTACATCATACATTTCCTGCATTGAATACCTTTAAAAGGGGACAGAGAGAGAGAAAAAGAGAGCGAGAGAGAGAGAGAGAGAGAGAGAGAAGTAGTTTTAACAGCTAGTTCTGAGATAAATACTTTAATTGAATACGAATATAATATTCATAAATCATTTGATAGGCATATGGAAATCACATCTAAATAAACTTCAAAGCAACAAAGAACTCTAAATTAGAAACATAGCAGAGATCAGAATTTGGGAACTCATGGGTTGAACTTGACCTGCAGATGTGGTTTTAAAATTTTTTAATTACTTGTTGATTTTTAAAAAGTGAGAGTTTACCTTGGTGTGAGAGGACACACTTATAACCCCATTACTGAGGAGGTAAAGGCAAGAAAACAGATATTTCTATATAAACTGGGTTACATAGCAATATCCTGTCTCAAAAAAATAAAAATTGAGAGTTAATATGGAAAACTTAGAAAATGGAAAAGGACTCTGTGGTAGCACATGCTTTGAATCCATTTGTTCAGAGGCTGAAGCAGGCGGATCATTTTAGCCTACAAATTAAGAGACCAGTATAGTTAATATAACAAGACTTACCACAAAACAAAATAAAACACTGGTAGCTCATGCCTATATTACTATCCACTCAAGAGGCTAAGACCTGTTAGATTGGGGTCAAAGCCAGTCCAGACAGAAAAGTGTGAGTCCAGCTCCAATTAATCAGAAAAGGCTAGGCTGGAGGGATGTCTCAAGTGATAAAATGTCAGCTCTGCGCAAGAAAAGCTGAGCAAGAGCATGAACCTGAGTTCAAGCCCCCTCAGTACCAGCAAAAACAGCCTTACAAAAACTAGGTTAGTCTCTGTATATCACTTTTTTTTTTTTTTTTGCCAGTCCTGGGGTGTGAACTCAAGGCCTGAACATTGTCCCTGAGCTTCTTTTTGCTCAAGGCTAGCACTCCACCACTTGGGCCACAGCACCACTTCTAGCTTTTTCTATTTAAGTGCTACTGAGGAATCAGTCCCAGGCAAGCACTCTATCGCTAAGCCACATTCCCATCCCTGTACATCACCTTTATAATAACATTTTATTTATTTATTTATTTTTTGGGTCCGGTCATGGGGCCTGAACTCTGGGCCTGGGCGCTGTCCCTCAGCTCTTCAGCTCAAGGCTAGCGCTCTACCACTTGAGCCACAGCACCACTTCCGGCTTTTTGCTTATGTGGTGCTGAGGAATCGAACCCAGGGCCTCGAGCATGCAAGGCAAGTGCTCTACCACTGAGCCACCTTCCCAGCCCTATTTATTTATTTATTCTTGTTGGTTGTGGGGCCTGAACTCGGCCTGGGCACCGTCCCATAGCTCTTTAGCTCAAGGCTAGTGCTCTACCACTTGAGCCACAGCGCCACTTCCAGCTTTTTCTGCTTATATGATGCTGAGGAATGGAACCCAGGGCCTCATGCATACAAGGCAAACAATCTACCACTAAGCCACCTTCCCAGCCCCTATAATAACATTTTTTTAAAGGGTTAGATTGATTTAAAAAATTCCTACTTGAAGCCAAAATTTTAGTTTTGGTGATTTATTACTCAAAAATACTGTCACAGGGCTGGGAAGGTGGCTCAGTGGTAGAGCGCTTGCCTTGCATGCAGGAGGCCCTGGGTTCGATTCCTCAGCACCACATAAGCAAAAAGAAAAAAGCCGGAAGTGGCGCTGTGGCTCAAGCTGTAGAGTGCTAGCCTTGAGCTGAAGAGCTGAGGGACAGCGCCCAGGCCCAGAGTTCAGGCCCACAACCGGACCAAAAAAAAAAAAAATACTGTCACAGAGTACAAAAGACATTCACTTCAATATTGATGGTTAGAGTAGGAAACGAATGGAAATGTCTATCAGCAAATAGATATTAATAAAGGTTTAACATACCAGATATAGTGGTTCAACCCTGTAATCCTAGCTACTGGGAAAATTAAAGGTTGGAAGCCATCCAAAATTTAGTATCAACAAACAAATGGGAATAGTACTAAATCTCAGGTATGTGAGAGGCATAGGTAGGAATATGGCAGGATAAAGCTGAGCCCAGGCACAAGCAAAACTACCTAAAACAGGGCACTGTTTCATAAACTGCACATGTAATTAATTCTAGCTACTCAGATGGCTAAGATATAGAGGCTTAGAATTTGAGGTCAGCCTGGGTAAAAGAGTTAGCTAAACTCCATCTCCAACAGAGCAGGGCTGGAGGTGTGGCTCAAGTGGAAGGTTATCAGCCTAGTAGGTACAACCAAAACCCAGCACCACCAAAGAGGAAAAAAGAAAGATGTTGTTTATGATCAGAGCACACATGCTGAGAGAATGAGCCAAATTTACTGACTGCCAGGTAATATGGGGTGATATGAATTAATACTCTGAAGAATCAATAATTTAGTAAAGTGGCCTACCATGAAGTAAACAAAAAATCAACACCTCTCTTATACTAACAAGAACTAGCTAGAAAATGATAGCACAGAAAGGCAATAAACCTAGAAATAAATTCAACAATTTAGGGTTTAAGTCAACAAAAACACAATAAAATTCTATGGACATACATAAAAGACCATTTAATGAGAGTCAGATGTTATTTTTGGTTCCAAAGACTCAATGCTCTTAGAATATGATTCATCATATAATTATATAGTAATTTCAATAATCACAACCTAAATTCCAAATGGGCATTTTTGGTATATGATTACTTGAACCTTCACATATATATGTATGTGCATATATGACATACATACACACATGCACACCAGGGATTTTTTTTTTTTTTGGTCAGCCATGAGGCTTGAACTCCATGGCCTGGGGTTGTCCCTGAGCTTTTTTGCTCAAGGCTACTGTTCTACTACTTTGAGCCACAGCTCCACTTCCAGTTTTCTGGTGGTTAATTGAAGATGAGTCTCCTGGGGTTTCTTACCCAGAAACTAAGAACTGCAATTCTTAGATATCAGCCTCTTGAGTAGCTAGGATTACAGGTGTGAGCTACCAAACTCATGTATGTTTTAATTAACTGATTTACAACCACAAAAGGAACACTGAACAAAAGTGTAAATCATAAATATGCATATATGTCAAGGTTAAAAACCCATTCTATACAGTTATCATATAACTGCATTCATTCAATAAGTATTTATGAAACAGTAAGGAAAGGCCAACAGAGAAAAAGCAGAGTTTAGTCTGTAAGACAATTCAAGAGAAAGGCACAATACTCTAAAGAAAATTATGAATAATCTTTTAGAACTATTAGTATATACAAACCCTATAATTCTTCTTTCTGAGTATTCTTTTCTTTTGTTTACTAATGGTGCAGTAATTTTGAAGAAAGTTCTTGCACATATGTCTTTGGGCAAAATGGACGTATGTACTGGAAGAGTTCTGTTCATCAGTACACCACAGGAAGCTAAATATCTAAAAGACAAAAATGACTGGATTTAGAGTAACAGTGAAGATTAAGATGACATTCAAACTATAGAAATTACAGAAAACTATCTTAGCTAGTAAAAATAAATTAACCAACAAGTTAAAAAAAAAAAAACAGTATCATATCTTAAGGCTAGAGTATGGCCTTATTGGGAGAATACTTACCTAGCAAGTCTGAGCTCCTAATTCAAACTAGAGTACCACCAAAAAAAGACATACACACACAACATTTTATTATCAATCCCTTATATATACATATATGTCATATATAGAAATATATACGTACACATACATATATACATATGTGTACTTATATACTAAGTAATAAATATAATTAGCAAACACGGGTAAAACGATTACATTTTAGAAGTGTTTGTACTTAAAAGTGTCGCCGGGCTCCGGTGGCTCACACCTGTAATCCTAGCTACTAAGGAGGCTAAGATCTGAGGATCATAGTTCAAAACCAGCCTGGGTAAGAAAGTCCTTGAGACTCTTATCTCCAATAAACCACTAGAAAACCACAAGTGGTGCTGTAGCTTAAGCCGTAGAGCACTAGCCTTGAGTTGAAGAGCTGAGAGACAGCGCCCAAGCCCAGAGTTCAAGTCCCACAACTGACCAAGAAAAAAAAAAAAAAAAGTATTGAAAGCGGCCGGGGGTCAGTGGCTCATACCTGTAATCCTAGCTATTCAGAAAGCTGAGATCTGAGGATCTCAGAGTCCATAAGGCTCTTTTCTCCAATTAAACACCAGAAAACCAGAAATGGCGCTGTGGCTCAAGTGGCACAGTGCTAGCCTTGAGCTGAAGAAGACAGGGACAGTGCCCAGGCCCATAGTTTAAGCCCCACGACCAACAACAACAACAAAAAGCGCAGAGACTGTGCTCAGGCCCTCATTTCAAGCCCCAGGACTGGCAAAAAACAACAACAATAAACTTATTAAGCATCATAAAGAAGCGTGCCAGGCACTGATGGCTCATACCTGTAATCCTAGCTACTCAGGAGCCTGAGATCTGAGGATCTGGGTTTGAAGCCAGCCCAGGCAGGAAAGTCCATGAGACTTTTTTTTTTTTAATTTAATTTTATTTGTGAACATACTGTACAGAGGGGTTACAATTACATGGGCAGGATAATGCGCACATTTCTTACTAAGCATTGCAGCCTCCTCCTTTGGTTTACCCTTCACATCCCTTCCCAGCCTCCCCCCTCCCCCCCAATCCCAATGCTTCTCCTTCCCCCCCCTTCCCTCCCATGAGACTTTTTTTTAAAAATACATTTTTTATTATAAAAATACTGTACAGAGGGGTTACAGTTACACAAGCAAGGTAATGAGTATATTTCCTATCAAGCATTGTTACTTCCTCCTTTGTTTTTCCCCTACCCTTCCTTCCCTCCCACCTCCACAACTACACTCCCCCCACCCCATACACCTAAATTGTAAAGTTCGTTTTTCAACATAGTGTCTTGTGCATCTCATTGTTACCATGGGTCAACCTGTATCCCTATTTAAGCATTTTGTTTTTCCCTTCCCCTCCCCAAATTAGAGAAGTGTATATACAAGATGTAGGGCACTCACATCAAATTCAGTAAAAATGGGTTATACCTTGGGGGAGGAACATACAAAGAAACAAACAAACAAAAAAAAAAATCACTCCATGAGACTCTTATCTCCAATGAATCACAGAAAAAGCTGGAAGTGGCGCTGTGGCTCAAGTGGTAGAACGCTAGCTTTGAGCAAAAGAAGCTCAGGGAGAGCATTCAGGCCCAGAGTTCAAGCCCCAGGACTAGCCAAAAAAAAAAAAAAAAACACACACACGCACAAAAAAAAAAACTTTGCAGTTAGGTTAGAAGATTCTGACACAAAAGGTCCTCTTCCCAAAAAGCTGACTTTTTCTTTCTTTTTTTTTTTTTTTTAAGATCCGGTCCTGGGGCTTGAACTCTGGGCCTGGGCGTGGGGCCTCATGCATGCAAGGCAAGTACTCTACCACTGAGCCACCTTCCTAGCCCGAATGAATCAATTTTGGGGGGGGGGAGGGGCAGGGGCAGTGGAACTTGAACTCTGGGCTTGGGCATGAATCAATTTTTTATGTACTATATTTATTCATTAGTTGATATACTCTCTGAGTTCCAATTCTGTGTTAGACTGTTAGTCACTGAGGATACAATGGTGAACAGAATAAATATGAGCCTTCAGATTATAATCTAGTTGAAGATTTATCAAAAACATGAGTTTTAGGCAGATTACATTCTAGTTGAATTGGCTCTGTGGCTCAAGTGGTAGAGTACTCTCCCTGAGCACAAAGAGGCTCAGGGTTAGCGCCCAGGCCCTGAGTTCAAGCCCCAGGACTAGCAAAAAAAAAAAAAAAAAAGAGCACTCTTTATTTTAGACTGGGAATGTGGCTTAGTGGTAGAGTGCTTACCTAGGATGCATGAAGCCCTGGGTTTACCTAGGATGCATGAAGCCCTGGGTTTGATCCCTTAGTATCACATAAACAGAAAAAGCCAAAAATGGAGTTGTGGCTGAAGTCGTAGAGCACTAGCCTTGAGCAAAAGAAGCTCAGAAACAGTGCCCAGGCCCTGAGTTCAAGCTCTAAGACTGGCAAAAAAAAAAAAAAAGATTAATCAAAAGTGAGCTGGTGGCTCATGTCTGTAATCCTAGCTACTCAAGAGGCTGAGATCTGAGGATCGCTGTTCAAAGCCAGACCAGGCAGGAAAGACTGTGACAGTCTTATCTCCAATTAACCACCAGAAAAGCAGAAGTAGAACTGTGGCTCAAAGCAGTAGAGAAGCTAGCTTTGAGCAAAAAAGCTCAGGGACAGCACCTAGGCCCTGAATTCAAGTCCCATGACAGATGGGGGGCGGGGGGAAGAGAGAGAGAGACAGACAGACAGACAGAGACAGAGACAGAGACAGAGAGAGATCACATACAAAATAAAACCAGGACCTCTGTTGGTTAGATTGATTATGACAACTAAATTTGAGTTGGGCAGATGGCATGTACCTGAGCTACTTGGGAATGTGGTAGAGTGAGAGTCTGGCAACAGAGCCAAAGCCCAAGGAAGAGAGAAGAAAAAGTAAATTTGGTATATAAATCCACCACTCCTCTAAAACATTCTTTAGGCTGGGCACTGGTGGCTCACACTTGTAATCTTTGCTACTCAGGAGGCTGAGATCTGAGGATTGCGGTTCAAAGCCAGCTTGGGCAAGAAAGACTGTGAGACTCTTATTTCCAATAAACAACTCAGAAAACTGGAAGTAATGCTGTGGCTCAAGTGGTAGAGCACTAGCCTTGAGCTAAGTAAGAGCTGAGGGACAGCACCCAGGCCCAGAGTTCAAGCCCCACAACTAACAAAAAAAGAAAAAAAAAAAAAAGTAATATGTGTTTGAAGAAGCAATCTAACAGATATTCCCGTCTCAGTGCATTCTATGGTTGCACGGCCCTGGACAGGACATTGATTTTTTACAATATCAATAATAAGGGCTAAGGGGCAGTTCAGTGGTAAAACGTGCAAAGTCCTGGGTTGGATCCCTGCATCAAAAAAGGGTTTAAGCTGATGGCTTACACCTACAATCCTAGCTACTCAGGGGCTCAAATCACAGTTCAAAGATAGCCCTGATGGGAAAGTCCTTGAGACATGTATCTCCCATTAAACAGCAAAAAGCTGTCAATGGAGCTGTGGTTCAAGTGGTAGAGCCCTAACCTTGAGCTAAAAAAGAGGGAAAAAAACAAACAAACGAAAACACAGCAAACTGCCGGGCATTGGTGGCTCAGGAGGCTGAGATCTGAGGATCACACTTTTGCTGAATCTTTTTTTTTTTTTTTTGCCAGCCTGAGCAGGAAACTCCTGAGACTCTTATCTCTAATAAACCACTCAGAAAACTGAAAGTGGCACTGTGGCTTCAGTGATAGAGCACTTGCCTTGAGCTGAAGAGCTGAGGGATAGTGTCCAGGCCCAGAGTTCAAGCCCCATGACCAACACAAAAAACAAAATTCAACAAAAAAGCACCTAGACCCCAAGTTCAAGCCCCAGAACCTGCACAAAAAAAGAGGGGAGGGAAGGATTATGTGTAATACAAGGAACCATATAATTAAACCAGAGAAAAATACTGGAGCACGTTGAGAACTTAATCACTAATGTTCCAATACAACTCTCTTCATTACTTATTATATATAAGAACAGCCCGAGGGTGGGGTGGGGGGAGGGAGGAGGAGTGTAGTTGAGAAGGTGGGAGGGAAGGGATGGTAGGGGAAAAACAAAGGAGGAGGCAACAATGCTTGATAAGAAATGTACTCATTACCTTGCTCTTGTAACTGTAATCCCTCTGTACAGTATTTTCACAATTTAAAAAAAAAACTTATTTTTTGGAAGTGGCGCTGTGGCTCAAGTGGTAGAGCACTAGCCTTGAGCTGAAGAGCTGATGGACAGCACCCAGGCCCAGAGTTCAGGCCCCACGACCGGACCCAAAAAGAAAAAAAACAACTTATTTTTTTTAAAAAAAAAGAACAGCCAGCAACTATATTAACACTAATTTGCAAACAAGCTTTTTTGTTTTGAGACAAGGACTCGCAATGTTGCCCAGACTTTCCAGAATTGTCTGGCTTACCCTATCCTCTTGCCTCATCCTCCAGAGGAGCTGGGACTACTGGCAGCAAATTGCTATTTAGTAAGCATAATACAAGCAGATCTAAAGCTTGATAGACTTGGTACTACTGTTTTTTTTTGTTTTTTTTTTTTTGTTTTTGTCATAGGGCCTGAACTCTGGGCTTGGGCGCTGTTCTTCAGCTCTTTAGCTCAAGGCTAGCGCTCTACCACTTGAGCCACAGTGCCACTTCCAGCTTTTTCTGCTTATGTGGTGCTGAGGAATCGAACCCAGGGCCTTATGCATGCAAGGCAAGCTCTCTCTACCACTGAGCCACCTTCCCAGCCCACGGTACTACTTTTTGAGGTTATTTCTTAAAACAGAAGTAATGATAGTTGTATTTTAGTTTCACTTAATGTCTGAGAGGCTTTGAAGGTGGAGGACTGTTGATACTTTTAAAATCCTTCACTGAATTTAAATGTCCTGGGGCTCTGCCAGATGTGATTTCTTCCTTTACACTAACTGTTTACAAAAGAACCCATTTTAAATAGTAATTTCAATCTTCAAAAATAATTTATTACAATACTTTATTTCTTGGCTTCCAACTGTGATCCTCAGATCTCAACTTCCTGATCAGCTAGGATTACAGACATGAGACACCAGCACCCAGTTATTTGAAATTTTTTGTAATAGTTGTGGGTCATGAACTCAGGGCCTGGATATCATCCCTGAGCTTTTTCGATTAAAGCTAGTGCTCTACCAGCTCCACTTCCAATTTTCTGGTGGTTAATTGGAGATAACTGTCTTTCGGACTTTCCTGTCCCAGATCTCTGCCTCCTGAGTAGTTAGGATTACAGGCAAGCACCGGCTACTCGTGTGTGTGTGTGTGTGTGTGTGTGTGTGTGTGTGTGTGTGTGTGTGTGTGTGTGTGTGTGTGTGTGTGTGTGTGTGTGTGTGTGTGTGTGTGTGTGTGTGTGTGTGTGTGTGTGTGTGTGTGTCTTAGAGCTTTAAGTCAGGGCATAGGCGCTGTGTGTGTGTGTGTGTGTGTGTGTGTGTGTGTGTCTTAGAGCTTTAAGTCAGGGCATAGGCGCTGTCCCTCAAGCTTTTTTGCTCAAGGCTGGCCTCTACCACTTGACTCATCCCCGCCTCTGGTTTTTCCTTGGTTAATTGAAAATAAGTTTCTGGGACTTTCTTGCCCAGTTTGTCTTCAAACTACACGCTCCTTTTCAGCCTTCCGAGTAGCATACGATTATAGGTGTGAGTCACCAGCGCCCAACTATAATTGTTTTCATAACAGGAAACTACAAAAAGTATTCATGTCTCTGCCTTTATCTCCACCTTTTCTCCCCCAAAAGGAAGCTAGCAGGAAAAAGCGAAGGCAAAGCCGGATTCAAGATTACAGAACGTCTACATTACAGTGGAGTGAAAAATAAATACAATTCTTCTTGATTAGTTACGTTTTGCAAACACCCAATGGGCGAAAGAACTGTACCCAAAAAAAATGCCAAGGCCTGTGTGACCCCTGCACTCAGGAACAACAGGTGGCCGGATGCCAGCAGCACACTCCGGTCCCGCGCCGGCAGATGCTACAGAAGAGCGCCGAGCAGCCTCCACGGTGGCACCCGCACTATTTCCCGCGGCAGGCTCTCGGGAGGAGAGCCAGGAGCCCCGACTCCGGCTGCTGAGGTTTCATGTTGGTAGTGAGTTGGATTTTGGGGGTTGGAGGGGTCGGTCGTGGGGCCTGAACTCTGGGCCTGGGCGCTGTCCCTCAGCTCTTCAGCCCAAGGCTCGCTTGAGCCACGGCGCCACTTCCGGTTTTCTAGTGGTTTATTGGAGATAGAGTCTCACGGACTTTCCAGCCCGGGCTGGCTTTGAACCGCGGTCCTAAGGTCTCAGCTTCCCGGGTAGCTAGGATTACAGGCGGGAGCTACTGGTCCCGGGGTCCCCCCCCTTCCCCCCCCCCCCATCAGCTGTTGCCAAGGCAGCGTAGCCCGTGACGATTCTCCAGCTCTCGCGAGGACAGCGAGCCGCGAACACAGACCGACGGCACCGACCGGTCGGCCGGGCTCCGGCCCCGCGACGCGCGTCGGCGCTGCGTCCCCAAAGGTCAAAGCCGCGACCCTTTGTTCCACGGGTGCGTAAATGTTCGGGCTCGGGCTCGGCTCCCCGGACTCAAGTCCCCCCGGTCCCGCCACCCAGCCGGGCCGAGCGGTGCCCGGGTTGCTTATTACCTTCCTTTCCGCGCAGATCCCGGCGCCGGGCCGCCCGCCGCTGTGGCCGACTTTGGCGGGCATCTCGAGACTGCCTTTGTCAGGGCCCTCTGACCGGTTCGAGCTGCCATGTTCATCTTTCCAAAGCCGGTTGTCCCTCCGGGACCAGGCCCCCGGCGCCGCCCAAGGCCTGGCCCGGCTAGCCGGCTTCGGAGTCTTCCAGCCAATAGGCGGGCCTGGACAGCTGCCAGACACGCCCTTTGACCCCTCCCTGATTGCGTCAAACCGACGCACGCTCCCACCGCCTTGGAGCCTATGGAAAACGCCTCGTGTTCCTGGTGGCCAATTAGAGGGCGCACAGAGCCTGCAGGACACACCCCCTGGCTCCTGCCACTCGCTCCTGCACTTACGTAACACGTTGACCGTGTGTCCCACCTTCTGAGCAGGAACTCTTTTCCGGATTGGCCGACAGCCTGGAGTTTGCCAGTGAGCTGTGGCGGATCGGGAGTCCCTGGCACGCCCTTTTCCCCGTGGAAACCTTGATCTGATTATGTAACTGTCTAGCCTCGTGAGTGTCGACCTGGACTTTTGTTATCGATTCTGGCGGCAGAGACTGGCAGGGTCCTGTTCGTTAATGATTGTTAAAATACCTGCTGTGCTTAACCCAAGGGTTGTTGCTAGGGCAACATGAGGTCATGCTGTAAGGCAAGGCTGTTATCTAACAGCAGTACCCCCTACAAGAAGTGTTAATTTATGAATTTCCCTTATTCCATACAAAAGACAACCTCTGCATTAGTTCACTCATTTCAGGAATGAGTGCACATTACTTTCTCCATTTATTCCCAGGTCCTTATTTAACCTACAAAAGGCCATAGTTTACTGAAAAGTGAGGATAGTAGCACTAGCTGTTTAGTGTAGTTTTAATCAATCCAAATATTTGGGGGAAACCTACTATTCTACAGCGAGAAAACAGAGAAGCCCCCCCCTTTCTTTTTTGTTTGCTGATCTTGGGGCCTGAACTCTGGGCCTGGGCACTGCCCCTCAGCTCTTCAGCTCAGCATTCTACCACTTGAGGCACAGTGCCACTTCCGGCTTTTTCTGCTTACGTGGTGTTGAGGAATCGAACCCACAGCCTCACGCATGCAAGGCAAGCACTCTACTACTGAGCCACCTTCCCAGCCCAAGAAGGCACATTTTGAGAGGTCGAATCGGCAGTCTATTAAAGGGCTGGCCACTGTATGGTGGAGTCCTGTCCCAAAGGCCTGCTGCCCAGATTAGACCTTGCACCAAGCTTTTAAAGACAAAAATCACATGTTGGGGTAGAGACTAAGCCTTAACAGCCTTAACAAAAGTATTATACACAGGCAGAGCAAACTATCCAGGGGAACAATAAGGGACAATCAGGACCCCAATTATCTAGGGTAATCATGATTTTCCTGGAGTCCTACAACTCATGACATATCTGCAATCCAAAGAATGTCCTCTGTTAACCTCTAGCGTTCTCCGAAAGGCTACATTGTCTATTAACTTTATTAAGATGCCAAGCTCCAGTCTCCTTATTTCACTATGAGGTGTTGGAGAAGTGAATAAAAATCCAGTCATAGAGCTGATGCTCTAGTGGGGAAAGTATGTAATATTACTATATATAGTATGTATCATCTAATATTATTAGTATGTAAATAATGTGCAACTATTATATACAATACAAAAAAATCTGGGAATGTGGCTTAGAGGTAGAGTGCTTGCCTAGCATACATGAAGCCATGGGTTCGATTCTTCAGTACCACATAAACAGAAAAAGCCAGAAGTGGTGCTGTGGCTCAAGGAGTACAGTGTTAGCCTTGAGCAAAAAAAATCCTCAGGGACAGTGCCCAGGCTCATTTGAGTTCAAGCCCCAGAACTGGCAAATAATAATCATTATATAAATTGTCAGATAATTATATGTACTGGAGAATTTAAAAAAAGCAGGACGGGCTGGGAAGGTGGCTCAGTGGTAGAGTGCTTGCCTTGCATGCATGAGGCCCTGGGTTTGATTTCTCAGCACCACATAAGCAGAAAAAAAAAAGCTGGAAGTGGTGCTGTGGCTCTAGTGGTAGAGCGCTAGCCTTGAGCTGAAAAGCTGAGGGACAGCACCCAAGCCCAGAGTTCAGGCCCCACAACCGACAAAAAAAAAAAAAAGATTCCTAGAGAGGTCATTTGGGGCCTCCTCAAGGGGCCATTTGGGACAGCCACAGCACCACTTCCGGTTTTCTAGTGGTTAATTGGAGATAAGAGTCTCACAGACTTTTCTGCCCGGGCTGGCTTTGAACCGTGATCCTCAGATCTCAGCCTCCTTAGTAGCTAGGATTACAGGCGTGAGCCACCGGCACCTGGCTATCTCATTCTTTTGAGGTCATAAGTGTACCTACCTGTAATTCCAGTACTGTACAGTCTGAAGGAGGAGGATTGAGTTGTAGACCACCCTGTGTGCTACTTAGTGACACTCTATCTCTAAACAAGTAATTAAATCAGGGCAAGGCAGCAAAGGTATAAGGTGGCTGCTATTTTGTGACAGGATCTCTTCTGTTCCCTAGGCTGGCTTTGAGTTACTGGGCTCAAGGGATTTGCCTGCTTCATGCTCCAAGTTGCTGGGGTGTTTAGTTGGGGATTATTTTATGTAAGTAGCTTACATAGGCATCTGATATAATACTGAATAAAAGTCAATGAAGTGAAGACATAAACTATGTGTACTTGGAGAGAACAACAAATGCAAAGGCCCTAGACAGGGACAATCTGCCTGTGTATTAGGAAGAGGTACAGTTTGAAAGAAATTGAGAGGAAGAAAGTGGTAGGAAATGCAGTTAGAAATGTGAGGAAGTTTTACTATGGTACCTAAATAGCCATAGTACTAACTCCTATCCCCTAGAATTCTTTTTTTTTTTTTTTTTTGTCAGTCATAGGGCTTGAACTCTGGGCCTTAGAGCTGTCTCTGAGCTTTTCAGCTCAAGGCAAGTACTCTACCACTGGAGCTACAGCACCACTTCCAGTTTTCTGGTGGTTAATTGACTTGCCAGGTGCAGGTGGCTCACGCCTGTAATACAAGTTACTCAGGAGGCTGAGATCTGAGGATCCCGGTTCAAAGCCAGCTGGGGCAGGAAAAGTCCAAGTCCACTTTCCTGCCTGGACTGGCTTTGAATTGCCATCCTCCGATCTCAGCCTCCTGAGTAGCTAGGATTACAGGCATGAGCCACCTGCACCTGGCTCCTAGAATTTTTTTTTTCTTGTTAGTTTTGTTCCTAGAATTTTTTTTTCTTGTTAGTTTTGTGGGGCTTGAACTCAGGGCCTGGGTGCTGTCCCTGAGCATTTTTTGCTCTACCAGTTTGAGCCACAGCTCCACTTCCAGTTTTCTGGTGGTTAATTGGAGATAAGAGACTCACAGACTTTCCTGCCTGAGCTGGTTTTGAACCACCATCTTCAGATCTTGGCCTCCTAAAAATTCTTTTTTTTTTTTTTTTTTTTGTAGGTGGTGGGACTTGAACTATGGGCCTGACAGCACTTCAGTTCAAGGCTAGCACTCTACCACTTGAGTCACAGTGCCACTTCCAGTTTTCTGGTGGTTAATTGGAGATAAGAGTCTCCTGGACTTTCTTGCCCCGGCTGGGTTTGAACTGTGATCCTCAGATCTCAGCCTCTTGAGTAGCTAGGATTACAGGCATGAACCACTGGTGCCGAGCCTCAATCCTAGAACTTTTTTTTTTGTCAGTTATAGGGCTTGAACTCTGTGCCTGGATGCTCTCCCTCAGCTCTTCAGCTCAAGACTAGCACTCTACCACTTGAGCCACAGTGCCACTTAGGGCTTTTCTCCTTATGTGGTGCTGAGGAATTAAACCTAGGGCTTCATGAATGTGAGGCAAGCACTCTACCACTGAGCCACCTTCCCAGTCCTCAAGCCTAGAATTCTTTTTTTTCTGGTGGGTTTTTTTTTATTGTGATTAAGTGATTACATAATTTCCCAAATTTCACAGTATTGTGGGATAGTAATGCTCATTTAGAGTCACAAACTCATTCTAACTTTCCTGGAACAAATTGTCTGTCACGGTCTATAACATATAATGGCGTACACACATACACCATACATGTGATCAGCAGCATGGGGTTATTTAGTAGTGGTTCGACCAGATGAGTGGAAGTTCTTTGTTTCTTAAGTCCTGTTAATTTTGTTGTATCACCTAACATTTTGGATTTAACATCCACTTATCAGGGAGACCATGTACCGTTTGTCTCTGCTCTTGGCTTACCTTGCTCAACATGATTTCTTCTAGCTCTATCCATTTCCCTGCAAAATGCCATTAATTTGTCATTTCTAATGGCTGCATAATATTCCATTATGTATAGATACCACAATTTTTGGATCCATTTATCTGTGGTGGGGCATCTGGGTTGTTTCCATATCCTAGCTATTGTGAACAGTGCTGCAATAAACATGGAGGTACATGTGTCCTTGTATATTGGTTCCTGTTGTTCAGGGTAGATGCCTAGAAGTGGTATGACTGGGTCATAAGGGAGGTCAATATTTAGCTTTCTAAGGACCCTCCAGACTGCTTTCCAAAGTGGATGTATAAGTGTACATTCCCACCCGCAGTGTAATAGGGTTCCTCTTTCTCTGCATCCCCTCCAGCATTTGACTTATGGATGTGGGACATTCTGACTGGGGTAAGGTGGTATCTCAGGGTTGTCTTTATTTGCATTTCCTTCACAACCAGGGATGGTGAACCTTTCCTCATGTGTTTCTTTGCCATTTTTATTTCTTCATCTGAGAAGTCTCTCTTTAGTTCAAGCCAAAATTCTTTAACTATTCCATGTCTCACAGACTTGCTTCTGAATCCTCCACAAACACCATGATATTTTACCTAGTTAACACCATAAATACCATAAACACTGAAACTCCATAAACATCCTCTTTTACCTAGTTAATGCCTCCTTACAAGAATAATACACTGTTTCCTTACTGTCGTTTTTATGTCTTTTTTTTTTTTTTTTTTTTTTTGTCAGTTGTAGAACTTGAACTCTAGGCCTGGGTGCTGCCCTTGAGCACTTCAGCTCAAGGTTAGAGCTCTATCACTTGAGCCACAGCACCACTTTTGGTTTTCTGATCGTTAATTGGAGATAAAAGTCTCACTGGAGGGCTGGAAAGGTGGCTCAGTGGTAGAGTGCTTGCCGTGCATGCCTGAGGCCCTGGGTTTGATTCCTCAGTACCA